GTATGATGGCGGATTATTATGGTCAAGTACCATGTATCCTAATCAGGACATTGTCTGATTATTTATTTTAAATAAACAATTGTTTTTAGGTTACCACAGACTTCAGTGGTATGGTGCGCTATTACAGAACAGGCAAGTACAAATAAAAGAACAATTCTGAGGTATTCATAAAAATATCAAAATTAAATTTTGGAATCCCATCATAAGCACCTTTAAAGTGCGATTATAAAAGATTAAAACTGGTAAAAACAGCTGGAATCCTTCTCACTAATCAACTTGTTGGATGTTAATAGTTTTATCGCAACACAAGATAACTTCAGGAATTCATTTTGTCACTCATTTCCGTGCTTTCTAAATATGTGCCGTCCATTGAAATATAATTGCTGTGCAAGTTTTGCGAATGGCTGGACGGAAGAGTTGCATCAGCGTTTCATTAAATTGTTATGTTAAATACATATATTGTTCTAGGAAGCATATTTGACTGTCTGTTTTTGTATTAGATAATTTATCGATTCTTTTTGATTTTGTACCTCCCTTTGTAGCATTAACAAATCAATCGTAAGGATGAACTTACGCAGAGAATGAGGTGCTCTTCTTGGGAACATCGGTGGTTTCTGATAATTGTTAACGCGATTTCTGCAAATCCAAGACTACATCAAGTGGACACATCTTTGTGTTAATGTATTTTCTCGGCACAAATGGGCACAGTATCCTCCGTTGCCGATGTTTTCACAGGCGCATTGTGAGACTGCAGTATAAGCATGGCAGAAACTTTTATTAAAGCCCGAGTATTGGATCAATGTAATTGTTGAAACAAGAACAGAGTCGAACCTCCACCATCAGGAGACAGGATACATATCAGACCAGAACACAAAATGGATCAGCCTTAACAGAAATTCTTTCAAAGTGACAGTTCGTGTTATACAATGATGTAGTCTAAGAATGCATAGCATGGCATTTTATTATGAACAGACGATTAAAGTAGAGTTCAAACAGCATGAGAAGCATATTTCAAACTACTAAATAGGTTATGTATTAACGCTGTTAACAACAGCGCGTGAGATGAAGAATTAACGTAGGTTAAATTTAATTATCAAATGTAGAGTTGTTAGCACATATCTATTCATTACAGGCGTAGTATACTCGAGAAATTCAAGCCATTATCGGTTTTTGGTAATGCCAATTGCATAAACTGGAAACGCACATTGGTGACGTCACAGCATTACGTAAATATCTCCATTAAGCCCCGACTAGTTATCGGTTTGAAAGTATACTTTCCAATATTTTCCTTTTGCTATAACTATAAAGTCATGATTTAATTTATATAAATGGATAAAATCATAGTTTTGCGATCCATTTTTTGGTACGCTCACCTTGTTACCTTAGAGTCGTCGATACACAACCTTTTCACTAATTGTATGTGAAGTAGGACAAAACGGTATGAGGTGCACCACAGACATGTCCATGTCCCAAGGTTAAAACAGGGATGTGAAAGTTAAATCCTAGAAACTTCATAGATACGCCTTTTAGGGTAGGATGGTGTCTCGTACAGTTTAATCATTGCAAGGGTTCAGAAAAAATGAACTCCACAACTTGTCCGGAATGTACATATGTAGTTTTAATTGGTTAACATTAAACTGAGTATTTGAAGGGATATTGCGTACCTCAGAAAAGCTTATTGGTTCGGGGTTACACGAACCTTCATAAATCCGTCATGTGTCACATAGAACAGAAATACACAGCTATATGAGTACTCAGTTTCGAGTAAAATAAATGATAACAAGATTTCTGTTTTAATGCAAAACGGCAGAATTGTTATACATTTGGTTATACGTCTGAGATAACTGTACTTTGCGATTGGTAAAGCAGAGAAAGAAAGAAAGTAACAAAGAAATCAAGAATTGTAACAAAAATAACATATGTTTTGTGACTTTAATAATGTGAAAAACATGTTGATCGTTAAATTGATGGTATTCAACAAAGTGTGTATTACACACTTATTTCCCTTGTGATAGGTTAACACGATTCTTTGTTTCTCAAAGATAATTATCGATTTGCCCTCGGTGAAACAAAGAGTCGTGTGGCCCCTACTACACATTACATATTTGTTATGCCGAAATATAACAATAATCCAATAGTAAAGATGTTGAGGTTGACTCGCCATTGTTGTTGTCTGTGCTTCAGTCATTCCAAACTCGGTTGTGGTGACTGCTGTCCATTTTTAGAGAGGTTCCGAATAAAGGAAAACATGATCGGGGAAACTCGAGCGCGTGAGATTGACGTGATGTTCTATTATCCCATCATATGATCAATGATGAATGATGATATATTAAACGGCTCTGTCAATAAATGTGTATAGAAATGTGATAAATATTGTATCAATATCATAAATACATAGTAAATCTAAGTTTTAAAAATGTCAATTAGAGCGTACAAAAACATTTATACCGAGAAACTTTCGCTCTGTCAAATATTCACCAGCATGAAGTTGGTTAATCATTAAATATTGGGCTAGCTCAATACTGGACTGGTCCAACCTTGGACTGGCCCAATATTTAGCTAGTTTGATATTCATATGTCACATACATAATAGGTCTTATGTCGCTTTTTAACACATATACTCCAAGGCATCGTCTAAGGTACTCACATTCAAAATGTGTATCAACGATATCTCAGACTAAAGATTACCACTGGCCCTTTTTCGAATTCCAGTACAAAATCCTTATTTTTTGTTAACGTACCATTGCAGTTATATAACTCTTATGCTGCTTTTTTAACACCTGTACTTCAACAGGTCATCGTCTAAGGTACTCGCAAAAGGGCATCAACAACATTATTGTTTTTTTTTCCAACAAGGAAGGGCATACCGTAATACTTCTTGTGCAGTAAGTATTTTAGAAATATGTATAACATGCAATGGCAAAATGATAAAGATATGTTAAGTATTTGTGGAAATAGCAATAATATTCTTGAACTGTCAAAATCCAAGATGACTGCCTGATAGCATAACCTATTGAGTTCAGAGAGCTGTCTGACAGATTTCTGAGTGTGTCGTGTTGTGATTCCGTATTGCTAAGTAAGTTAATCACTGAATGCTGTTTCATGCAAGCATATATCCCATTTAGATTATGAACTGTTTTAAATCAAAATGCGGTTGATTTTATCAAAATCTGAATGGAAAGATTAAGACCAAATTCAAAACAAATATCTTCTGCTTCGTAATTTGTATTGAAATTTTTGCTAAATACAAAACGTATTAAAATTCTAAATAACTTTTGAATCACTTAAAAAGGATATCAACGTATATGAAAAAGGTCAAGAGAGGCTGCTATCTTTGATGCAGAAGTAGTAGTTTTATTTGGCTAATTAATAGATTCAGATCGTAAACCCTTGGTAGGGGTGCAAATCTGACAACGTCAAGTAAACGTACTGACAACACCGAATAACCAAAACGTCATAAAGAAAGCAGTAATTAAAAACAAAAAGGAGTTCAAATATTAGAAACCGCTCACACTCCGCTGGTGGAGGGAATCCTATGTCATTCTTTAACCTGTCATTTTATTTTCAAAATATATTATTTCTTGCTCCACTTGTGTACACCATAATACTGTGTTATTAAACAGTTGATGTATTATCCCAATAGCCAGACATCTCTTTTTAGCTGAACTCTTTAGTTGTTATCAACAGACCAACACAACACATGGTACACAATTTGGTTCCGATCGAGCGTCATTTTACGCTACTGGTCACGTGCTGCCATTATTACGCCGTTTGAACATGGTTGTTTCGGATACGTCTTTAGGAAGAGAACTTAACAATACAGAATAATGATGAACAACGTTTTGCTGACAATATAATGTGCATATAAGCAATTTCACAGATATGTGTTCATATAACGTCATAGACTGCACTAGTTTATGGCGTCGATGGCTGTATATTTCACTAGGACCAAAGCAAGCACGAAATACACCCATACGCTCAAAGCACCCAACCTAAGATAAACAGGTAAGGGCGGTATACCTTTTAACAAAAATAGTGTTTACAACATACATGTGTGATTGACACACTTAGAAATTATCAGTTTGTGTTTGCAAAATGAATAGTTCACTCCTGAATTGCAATTTTATCAACATAACCGTGATATTGCCTCTAGTGCACGTATCAAAAATTTCATTTGATGTTTTTAATGAAGTAATATTTCAATACAAAGACCAGCATTTCATTAGCAAACTCACTTTCTGCCAACAATTTTCTCCCTGTGGAGTCACGCGAAAAATAGGTCGAACGAACCCATTGCTTTTCAACTTCTTCATTTACTTTTGTGAAATGAACTTCCGTTGTAGATAATTGCATTACCATTCTATCGTGTAATGTTTACATATACGCTCATTATAATCCAACATATTTCAAAAAAAAATATTTCTTCGATATATCACCAACCCCCTTTACAACGTCATAACCAAAGAGCAAACGAAGGCAGTAAAATGAGGTTACAATGTATTGTATCTCAGTTGTGAAAGTAAAATGTCAGGTAAATTATCATTCCATCATTTTGTCACGCATGGCTGCACGTTGTTTTTTCAATCTGAAGAAGCGACGCAAATTGACTAAATCTGAACAGACAACAAGCGAGATACTTGTAATAATAACCAGGACTCCTAGACTTCCAAGGCTGACCGCAGAGTCCCTATTGTCAACAGCTGACGTGCGTTTCCGTTTATATGATGACAGTGTTTTCTTATTAACTGTAAGTTGAGTCTGTAAATATTGAATTCTACGCCTAATTTCTTCTGCTGAATAATTAACATATTGATGTGCTACACACGGACAACCAACGCATCCGGATGTGACTGTCGGAATTCCAGAAGACGACGTTATTGTGGACACCTGGTTGGTTGTCAGGGTATTGTTCGTTGTTGATTGCCCCGATGAAGTAATGGTTGTATCCTGTACTCCCGTTGTTCCTGTATTGACCGTTGTTGTGACCTCTGTGACCGTCGTTGTGACCTCTGTTGTGACTTCTGATGTGATAACTGGAGTGGCTGTCTGTGTAGGGTCATTAGTTGTCGTATCTGAACAGAATGACAAACAAATTACACTATTATTATGCCAAATGCAGTATATTATCAAACTAGTGCCTAAAAGTTGAGTTACCACGAGTATCTTACACATGTGAAAAACCCTTCTGTATTGTTGTTGAATTCAACCTCCTGTTAAAAGGATGTGGAATACTTAAATACCTATCCGTTTTACAGGAAACTTCTATTTAACTGTGAACAGCCATTGGCAGCTATTGCCTTTGGTTGAAGTCGTATTGTTTCTCTCTGTATGCTGTTAAAGACAATTGTAGCTTGTGAACCTTTTTAAGAAGGTAAACATCTTGAAACTACATCAATCGTTATTGCAGGAAAGATTTGATATTTGTATTTACTTTATATTAATGATTTTGTTGACTGTGTTTCTCATGAAACTAAACTGTTTGCTGATGACACTTCTCTATACGCTTTAACAGACGATGATCCAATCGAGTTAGCACAAAACCTAACAGATGATCTCAGTGATATAAAACTATTGGCTAATAAATGGGATATTGGGATATTAAATTTAATCCAAATAAAATATAATCTGCTATGTTCTCTAAAAAAACCTGAATACTCATCACCCAAATGGAAATTTTTATGATGAACCTGTTACTGTCAGCTGAACACATATACATCTTGGCTTGAAATTCAGTGATGATGCTAAGTGGAATGACCACATTTATGATATTTACCAAAAAGTATACAAAAGAATTAATATCTTAAGGATAATGAAACAAACTAGACAGACAGTCATTAACCACAATGTATACATCATATATTAGACCTATACTAGAATATGCAGATGTTGTTTGGGATAATTGTTCACAAAATCTAAAAAATCTCTTAGAGTCAGTCCAGCTAGAGGCTGCAAGAATAATTACAGAACTGCGTAGAGGCACCCCCAAAATATCTTGTACAAAGAATTAGGCTGGCTTCCTCTTGAAAGTAAGAGAAAACAACATAAAATGATGCTGATGTACAAGATTTTGAATAATGAAACTTCATATTATCTGAAAGAAATCACATTTTCATGATCCCACACTAGCTAGGTATCCCCTTAGATCAGTTAGAAAATTGATCCTCCTCTTTTTCGAACTGTTTACTATTCTAATAGGTTTTTTCCATCCATGTTTAATGAAATAAATGATATCTCTTCAGACCTTCATTATATCTGTTCAGCCTATCAGTTCAAAAAGTCAATAGCACGTTTTCAAAATTCAAACACAAGAACAACTGATGTCCTTAAGTTTTTAGGAAATCGGGAAACTAATATTGTTCTCTGTCATTTGAGAAATGAGGCCAGTAACCTAAATAATGACCGTCAGAAAGATTATCTTACTGAGCCCTCTGCATGGTTCTAGATTTGAAACAGCATCTCATTACTTCCATGATTGTATCAAATACACTGACGATCGTATTGAACTTTTTCAGAATATATTCCATGAAACTCACAACCATGAAAACATGAAGTTTGATATGTATACTGATAGATGAATCATGATGTTTTGTTTTTAAACTTTAAACGAAGATTAAACACATGTAACCCCTGTGACCTTGAAATTAGGTCAAGGTTTGTTCATTTGAACTCTGTAGCCATTCATCCTAGCATGTTAATTGGCTAACATTATGACACTAGGCCTCTTAGTTTTTGAGAAAAGGTCAAGGTCAAGGTAATTCATTTCAACAAACTTGGTAACCGTTTTACTCAGCATGCTACTAGCCCTATATCATGACCCTTGGCCTCTTGGTTATTGCGAAGAAGTCGTTTAAATATATGTTAATACATTTTACTCCTGTGACCTTAAAAGTAAGTCAAAGTCATTCATTTGAACAAACTTGGAAGCACTTCACTCCAACATGCTACTGGCCAAAAATCATGACCCAGGGCCTCTTGGTTAGTGAGAAGAAGACGAAAATGTAACTCGTCTCAGGTGACCTAAAAATATCAAAGCTGTGGCTATTTCCTTTTGGCAGAAGAAGATTTTTGTAGCTCAATACCTATTACAGCCTATGTAAAACATTTCCCTTTTGGCGTGGCCCCAATTCTGACCCCATGGGTTTGATTTGTACAAACTTGAATTTTCACCCTAAGGGTATGCCAAAAGGAAATATCTAAGCTGTGGCTATTTCTTTTTGGCAGAAGAAGAGTTTGTAGCTCAATACCCATTACAGCCTATGCTAAACATTGGCCTCTGGGCGTGGCCCCAATTCTGACCCCCGGGGTCTGTTTTGTACAAACTTGAATCCTTACCCTTAGGGTATGCTAAAAGTAAAATATCTAAGCTGCGGCTATTTCCTTTTGGCAGAAGAAGATTTTTATTGCTCAATATTCCATTACCGCCTATGTTAAACTTTGGCCTCTGGGCGTGGCCCTAATTCTGACCACAGGGGTCTAATTTGTACAAACTTGAATCTTCACCCCTAGGGCTTGCTTAAAAGCAAAATATAAATCCAGCAGCCATTCTCAGTCTTTCGAAGAAGATTTTTTTAAAGATTTAGTCAAATTGCCCATTTTGGGCCACGCCCCTCAGCCCCCAGGGGATCCAGCAACAAAATTGAACCCTCTTCCCACAAAGATACTTCAGACCAAATTTAGTCAAAATCTTTGCAGTGGTTCTTGAGAAGAAGTCGAAAATGTAAATTGTCTACGGAAGGACGACGCACGACGCACGACGGCGGACAAAAGGAGATTGCAAAAGGTCAATTGAGACGTCGACTCAGGTGATCTAATAAACTTTTGATCAGTATTATGGAAGTTTCCTGTCTCAAAAGATGAACGTCACACTACACGTGTGGTTGCACATTTTAAATTGAGTAATATTATTCATTATACTAAAAAATAAATTACACTGCATCATACAGCTGTGTTGTCGTTATATGACTCTTCGGTGATGCTAGACGCCATCACAGAGATCCCGAATAGCTTTAATGCTGACGAAATAGAGGGACAGGTGCGTAATTAGAGAGGGGTCGTAGTTAATCTCATATTAATTATTCTGTAAAGTGTGCGTATTATGAACTGTGCCACTACTCAAAAGGGATAACTGTGGCCTTTAAGCTTACAGCAAACATCGGGGACTAGACTATGAACTGTGCCACTACTTAAAAGGGATAACTGTGGCCTTTAAGCTTACAGCAAACATCGGGGCTAGACTATGAACTGTGCCACTACTTAAAAGGGATAACTGTGGCCTTTAAGCTTACAGCAAACATCGGGGCTAGACTCACCAGCAGAATCTACCACCTTGTATCGTGAATGAATAGTGATGTTATTTACCTGCGCTCCATTCGCCTATGATCGCGAAATACTTGGCCAAAATATACATCTTATCTGAAATAAGAGACGTTGAAGTAATATAGTAATATAACATAATTTGTTTTCCATTTCTCAAGGCGTTTTTTCCTGTTCTGCAGTAAAAGAATTTGTTACAATAATTCGATTGAATTTATCAAATTCTTTGATCTTATTTACGGGAAATTGTCGTTGCAGTTTAATTACGGTTTTAATACCCTCCACAACAAGGAGAAATTATCATGACAGTAAATAGCGAATATTAGTAGTAACTGACGAAATTCACTGAGTGGACAGGGATTTTACGAGTAAAGGACGAATATTTGATTCAGCGAAAGTTTTTCGGCATATAGTAACCACTGCTTGTCCGAGTATTTTTTTCATGGACATAATTTTTCACCATTGTTATTCAAGCTAAGCAATCGTCAAAGGTTTCTGTCTAAAAATGTAAATATGTTAAAGCCAAACATTCTCAATACTGTTGTGGTTAAATGTTCAAACATGGGTGTCAAAAATAACTCGAAACATGATAATAGTCAAACACCTAAACTTTAGTGGCTAAAAGAGTTTACCAATATTTATATGTTTACTGTAAATATAAACACTGTGAACGTGTTACCATTCAGAAAGCTGACTTGGATGACCATGGGGTCCGGTCCCACAGAAGTCGGGAAGACAATCCAAATACAATGTACCGGTAAGGTGTCCACTGCCTCATGAGCTGCTAACGAAAATACCTGAACAGGAAACATGAAGTTGAAACAATGCACTGTATTGATGTAAAAATATACAGTGTATCAAACTGTCGCGGTTCTTTATTGGTAATACGCTTAATCCTGGTGTCTTTAATCGCTTAATCCTGGTGTCTTTAATCGCTTAATCCTGGTGTCTTTAATGGCTGTTCAGCAGGTACTTATTATCAACAATGGTAATTGGGGTTTGGGGTAGGGAGTGTTTACCAATTTTTTACCTTTTTGACCCGTGCATTGTAACCGATAAACGTTATGTTTGAACATTTAAAATGGTTTTATTGTCGGAATACATATCAATAAACGTAATTGAATGCATGAATTGTAACTAAATTTGTCTCATATAGATATCCAGTCACATCACTTTACGTACAGAAATGTTTTCATTCTCGTCGGTATGGGGCATCCGGTGGCTGGACGTACAGTCATCCGAGTTGTAATACAGCTCATACTGGCCTTGGTTGTTTGCAGATGATGCTACGTAAACTGAGGTCACGTATGACACGGCAGACCCGGTCATCGCAGACACATTAACCTGCAAAAGGAATACAAAGTCGGTGATATGTCAAACTTGTTTAATCTATTGTTATTTTCCAATTGTTTCATTTTTCTTTTTCATTCTTCTCGATCAGTTAAAGACAGAAAAATGAACATAATCTAAAGATAAATCAACTTGGTCGTCATTGGGAATGCAGTGAATTGGTGAAATAATTATTGATCTTTTTATGAAAATCTAGATTTTGGATGTAAGTTAGAGACATTTTCCTCCCACACTAAAAACGTACATTCCCGTTTTTGCCTGGGAAAAGATAGATCTGTCTCTACCGACATAGGGAAATAACAGCTCACACGCGCTGATATTCTGTACAACTAGATCAGTGGTGAGTCGACAGTGAAACAAGCAGACTAGTAGTGGCTTGACTAACGAGGCCTGGCTGTTTTGTTTTCAATGTGGTACTCTTCATCTTTCATGTAGCTATTCGCTTAACGAGAGATAGACCTTTGATTTGGAAATTAAACCGAAATATTGGTTAGAAAAATGCACAGGCAAACATCTCTATCTTTGTTTATCTATTGCGTCCTGTACTTTTCGATACTTCATTGTTTCCTTTGACGAAAACAAATAGTATTAGCCTAAGAAACCGATAGCAAGCTGAAGCTAAAAGTAGGCATGCTTGCAGGATAATTTACCATTATCTCGTCTGTATATGGCACGGTACTAGTCACGTTGGTACTTCCTAACTGTGTGCTAGGTAATTCTTGACTGATAGCTCCAGAACCTGTTTAATATGAAGGAAATATCTATTTAATTATTTCTATTTTCAAATAAATAAACAATGAAATTTGGATCGGCTTGATTTAGTGTCATTATAAGTGTTTTCGTTAACATTTTGCTTTCAATCTAAGGATAGATACATTCCCCCACCATTCACAGATTTGTCTCTTGCAAGTGAGTTTTCTCTCAATTGTATCAATGCAGACATGTTTTATGTGTATTTTTTACATTCCATTTTGTTTAAAATCACGTCATATCATACATGTAGCTTGACATTGAAAGCAACATTTTATAGCTGTCAATAGACCCCCCCCCCCCCCCCCCCCAAAAAAAAGGAAGATATTTTAAAAACCTTTTCTTTAACCTTTTCGTAAATCATCACATGTTGGACCGACACCATCCTACTAAATGTTAATTTATAAATAGGTATGAGATTCAAAATAAGCTTAATTTAATCTACATAACATTCTTGTTTGTCTATTCATGTTACGGTTAATGAATTTATCCTAACTGTCTTATTTTGGTTTTGCATGTCGTTAACCTGTTTGGTATACAGATCCCTTGCCATTTCCGCCACATGGTTCAAAGGTTGAGGCTCCTGAACATGACGTCACACACAATGAATCATCTCTGTCTGCTGGATTGGTGGAACTAAAACTTCCACAGTGACAGTTCTGACCATCCTATAACGTAACACCAATGTGTAAACAGTGTATATATATATAAACAGACCAATTAAAACGATGTTATAAACCAATAGATAAAGACAACGAAAAACAATCAAAAGCCCCAATGTGACTAAATTAGTTAAATACATTTGATCAATGTGACCTTGAAAGTCTAACAATGTCATTATGTTGAACATGATACTTGCCAAATATGACCACCCTAGACCTTTAGTTTATTGAGAAGAGGTTGGCTGTGAATATGGATAAAGTGTATTCATTTCAACATTTGATAGCTTTCTATCTGATCATGCTACTGGCCCGGTATTACCAAACCATCCTCTGCCTTTCGTTTATTCAGAAGAAGTTCGTTAATTGTTCCCAACACATTTGGCCCTGTGACCTTGGCTATTGGTGTATGTCATTCATTTGAAAACAAGATGTAACCCTTAGTCCAAGCATGCGACAGAATAAACATCACCAGCCTAGACCGTTTGGTTATCCTGGGAAGTCGTTTTAAGTTTCCAGCAAGGTTGTATTGTATTCTGTATTCAAATTCCAAATCGTTCCTTTTGTACTTTACACAGGTTTGTTCACAAATAACTTTAAAAACAATGATATGACGTGTCTGTTGCACAAGATTTAAAGTAAATTGAGCGTTAAATCCATAAGGGTGAGTATACCACTGTATCTAGTTTTCTGACCGGTTGTTGTAACCAAGTGTCCAGAAAAAGACACACACACACACATATACACATATACACAAAGACGGGTTTACTATATATTTAAGCAGATCGGTTTTATCTAGCAATGGGGCTTCATGGTCAATTCAATTGAGTTGTTCTACAAAGCAGGCAATACCGAGATTGCCTCAATATCTACTAAATTCGTTATCCCATGACATTTTCGCTCGCAAGATGTTATTATAAAATTTCCCTGAAACTTATTTAAAATCATGCAATGAAAAAGTAAAGTTCTAAACACTTATGAAACAGCAACATAATTTCATTATACGAGTGTGTTGGACAATAACAGGACTACATGCCAATTTGGTCTTCAGAAAACGTCCGAAACGTCATGACATTATGACAAAATATGAACTCGAAGCCAACACTAACAAGCTGTAACAGGGACGTTAGAAATATACAAACAGAAAATATATAGCTTGTGAACCCCACCCCCTAAACCCACTAGTACCACCTGTACCTCGGTAAATCATGTAGTGTGTGTAGGGCAGTAACGATGTAAGACAAAATGAACATGTTTTAAACCATGGTAGATGCTAGAAATATCAAACTAGAAAGTCAGCATAAAATGAAACTTTCCAGATAGAAAGCTTTGCAGTATGTTTGCGAGAAGTATTTATCTATACCATCTTCGACCAGTATCAGGATTAAGGGGAACTTAAACATGGTAAGCATACTAAGAAAAGTCTTGCGTGTTTTTACCGAGGAACATTAAAAATAACGGCCGTGAAACTGAAATCGTCTTTATTTACATAGATATATAGAATCTTACATGAGTTTCTATTTCATATGAGAATTATGAAACGAGTCTAAGATTTTTTTTCAATTTAGCGACCCTCTGGCTTCGTGACGAGTTTCATAAATCACACATGAAATGAAAACGAGCGTAAGATCCTTTTCATCACATGATCAAGATTTGTGGCATTTATTCGTGTAAAACAACAATTTTTATGCAACCTTGAAATGTAAAAAGAAGTAATTTTGACTGCAGTGCGTAAGTCTGTGACGTAATGTACTTGTCCTAGGAATAACGTCACAATTGAAACAATTGGAAATTACAACCAATCACAGGGCTGATAGGTCATATTACATGGTTAATACGCAAAAAATATGACATAGGTTTATTCACTGGATGACACAGTACATTATGTGATATTCTACCACGTCTGTGATGTAACGATGGTTTTCATTGGTTAAAAAGAGTGCATTATTGAGCGATATACCATGCGCGTGCCAATAACCAATGCACGTGAAATAGTGCGCACGCATGCTGTTCCAACAACCTCCCCGTATTTTATCATAAATTAACAAAAATAGCATAACTGTCAGGCGGGATCAAACTATTTGACAGGCCTGCCATTCAAAAGATTACACGGATCTATAGACCTAAAGTATGTGGGTCCGTGCAGTAAAAATGGTTTAATAATTATTGACATTTAAAATGTACAGGTCTGAAGACAAAATGGTAAATTATTAATTACTTCTGTTTTTACTTCACTGGGTAGTGCCGTACGTTTCACGATGTGTGCAGTTTGTGTATGTACTGTCAAGCGTTGATTTCATGTTTTGACGAACGAAGTCGATAGCGTGCCAATGTTTGATTGATTGAAATAAACATCGTATCTGACGTCACACGTGTTCAGTTGTTCTGATCTGCAAAACGTCGTCTGCTTTCAAAAAATCAAAGTCATGTCGAGCATTCGCCTACAGTGTACATACCATGTGTGAAGAACAATGTTCCAAAAAGTAGCATCGGTCTGAACAGTGGTTGCAAAACACAGCTGTCCGGTGAAGTCGGTGAAGGTGAAGGTCGCATCATGATCAGCCGGTCAGCGACTTTCCATCACGTCATGGCAACCAACTAAATATGCCAACTCATGTCAGGCCTATCGTATGATGTTGTATCACTGGCACTTCCAAGAAAATCCGCTTGATATCGGTACGATGATGATGGTTTTGGGAGTAAACGTAATCCGGGAATTTAGGTGTTCGAAAATGTTGGAAAAATAATTAACTCAGGCCGAAGCGGCCTTCGTTAATTATTTTAACCAACATTTTCTCACCCTCGTTATATATTCCACCATGATGCACGCATAGATGTTGATTATTTCTTAAACATTGCATAGTACCAATACGAGGTATGCTATATAATTTCATTCGACTGCAGATTTGTATTACGGAAATAATTTATATCGAACAAAACACGAATGATATTAAAATGACAATTTGATCAGCATACGTTTAGAAATACAAGTGAATGCGAAGCTAATGTATAGTTGAAATTCTACTTCTTTGATGGAAATTTATAGCGTAAACAAAGCTATATTGAAGAAACACATGAGGCACTTTATAAAGTTGATTGGCATCGGTTCACAGTTTCTATTTCAAAATACGTTACCACAGTCATTTTAATGCATATTCCAACCTTACTTGGCTCTTTACATACGTAAATACCCCTATGGGGAGCCCCTGGAAAACCCACCAATCAGACGGCAGTATTCACGCACGTGATAAGACACCAAGCCATGCTTCCCACTTCATAATTCCTTCAGCCTTCCGTGTTTACGGACGTGTTTTGGTTTCTTCTACGGGGTTCCAACTGCTACTTGCGTTGTTTGTACCGATATATATTGTATCCTTTAATACTATATAACTTTATTTTGTTTTAATTTAGCGTTTTGCTTTATTTGCGCCGTTTTGCGACCAGGCTCCGGCCACGTGTTCGCGTTTTGACGGTTTGTTTACTTTGAGATGGAGACTCCTCCTCAAAGGCGCTGTCCTGGGGGTCATTTATTTGAGGCTTCCGACCCCCACCCTTACTGTCCTAGCTGTCGGTCTTGCTCTCTGGAGCAGCCGTGTGACATTTACCGTGCCTGGCAGCCGACTCCTGCCGGTGGTTCTCCCCGCCCGCAAGGGTGTGCAGGTAAGTCGGGTAGGAGGGGTAAGGGTGGGGCGAGCGCTAAGGCTAGGCCTAAGCCCTCGGAGAACACCAGCGGAATTTCGACCTCTGTTGAGTCTTCCCTGGGGTTCGTTTCGGCGGTTTCGGCCCGTACTGAGGCGTTGTGAAACAATTTGTTTCATTGGACCCGGACCTTTCTCCCCCCCCCCCCCCCCCCCCCCCCC